TAGATAGGGAAAAAGAAGAGGCTAAATTCCTGGCATAAGGCTTTTTATTTAAGTACTGAAGTTTATAGATAGGATTTTTACTTGTATAGTGCATTTAAAAAAATACATATATACGCATGTACTCTGATATTTTGACTTGTGTTTCTAAGCTGCCTACAGCATACTCTTGCTGTCTTTGTCATGCTATGGAGTAATATGGCAATGCTTATTCTGAAAAAGTTTAAAGGAAGTGTGTATTGCCCTACTAACGATAAATTATCATTTATCTATTCTGCCCTGTTCAAAGTATTTCTCTCAACTTGGAAAAACTATTCTGAAAAACTACGTGCCTGTTTGAGAACTCCTCTCTATCAGTCTCTGTCCCATGTGCTACCTGTGCCTCAAAATACTTGAGGCAGCAATGTAGAGATAGTGAAGATAAGGTTTTATCCATCCTTGCATGGCTTTCATTTTTTTGTGGAAGTGTACAAATATTTGTATGTGGGCAACAAAATCACCCTTGAATCTTTTCCAACAAAGACAAACCTTTAACACTTACTATGATGCATCTTGCTTCTAACTGTGATTGCAAGAGTCGAATGTTCAGTTCAATTTCTCTTCTTTTGTACTGATCAAAGAGAAAAATATACAATCGCTGATAACACTTCTGAGCTTTAGCTAAGATGTTGAAGAACTTGAACAGATCAAAAAGATTTTTCAGTGTTTTTGTTGCATGAGCCTTTTCAGCTTTTTGCTGTCGTCATAACAAATACATGTTTATTCAAGAGGTTGCGTTAAATTTTCCTCACGATAGTGTGATGGGATGCTGCAGTGACCTCTCTTAGATAGTGTCATGAGGACACATGCTTCAGAATATTTTTCCTCTTTGCCTGGGGTGAAGTTTCAAAATAAAAAATTGTATGTTACAGCTAGAATTTATATGCCCCCAGAAAGTTTTTACCCTGCATGATCAAGGGTTCAGTTGTAATGATGTAGCCCTCTAATGCAGTATTGCCATTCCCAATAACAGGCTATAATGTTTGTACTGAATTTGCAAGGCCTCAGGACTGAGGCTTGTCAGGCTTGGTTTGTCTGAACTTTTTTTAATGTGGCTGCTGCTTTGTTTTTCTTGGTTTGGCTGTGACAGCAATTTCTGTAATTGACTAGGTGTCTATGGCCTATTTATTTTACTTTTGTTATCTGTGTGTGGTACAACTATTACATAGATAGCAGTAGCAAGCAATTATCCTATGTAGGATGAAGTATTTAATGACCGTAACACAACAGTGTAGTAGAGTGAAATAGGAGCCTGGTATGGTAGCAGAGGCTTTGAGAAGTGGTGACACAGGATGTGGTATAGAGGAGTACAGGCATGGGATGATCAGAGATGGGGCACAGGCTGGCACTGGAGATGCCGTGGGTAAAAATAACTTGCTCGTGGTTAGTTACAGAAATGCAGGCCTGGAGCTGGGCAAAACTGATTTCAGGGGTAACAAAGAACAGGTATAGTATGTAAAGGGTGCCATATGTAGTAAATCTGGATGTAACATGGAACTGTAGACCACTGGAGAAGGTGTAAAAGCATGCTAGCAAACATATAAAAAGGACCCCAAGTGGATCCTGGAGTGAAGAAGAAACCACCAATATGAATGTCATATTTTTCCCAGTGAAGGAATCAAGATGCTTACAACATGCTGTAGCTGCTGCTGCTGCTGCCAGAATGAAACCACCAACCTTACAGCTGAGAGGAGCAGTGGAAGGGTCAACCCCAGGAAGAGGGATAGAAACTGAAAAGTGTTTATATAACAATTTTGTATTTTCTTCTTTATGTAACAGTTCGATCTGGACTAATAAGGATTAAACTATTAAGATTTCAATTACACTAACAGGAAGCTCTTTGCTTTTCTTATATATATATATATATATATAATGT